CTGGAGAATGTAGTTCTCTGGGGGTGTATCTTTGGAGTTTACATTTTGTCCCTATAACCAGAGCTCTCTTAGCTACCTGGCTGCCCTGTCGTTTCCTGAGCTGCTTTCCTTTACCATGCCCTTCTGCCATGATGTTCTGCCTCACCTTAGGCCCAGAGCTATGAAGTTGGCCATCTATGGACTGAGGCCAATGACAGCATGAGCTCCAAATAAACTTTCCCTCCTCTATGTTGTTCCTCTTGGATCTTTTGGTCACAGCAATGAAAATCTGACTAAAACAGGAGTCCAGTTTTTTTCTTTTTTTTCCCCTCTCTTTCTGTTTTAGTATTTTGACTACCTGAAGCCATTTTTTTAGTTTCTATTTTGTGTGATAATCCATAATGTAGACCATTCTAGTGACTATGGGAAATGTATATGTGGGACACATAAGTTTGCTAGGGTTACAATAATAAAACACCACAGACAGGATGGTATGAATGAATAAAATTTATTTCTCACATTTATAAAGTTAGAAACCCAAGATAAAAATGTTAGCAAGTTTAGCTTTTCCTAAGGCCTCTCTCCTTGGCTTCCAGACAACCACCATTTGCTTTGTCCTTACACGGTCTTTCTGCTGTCTGTGTGCATCCCTGGTATCTCTCTCCTTCTTATGAGAATATACCAGTCAATTTGGATTAGGGCCCCAACCTTATGATCTCATTTAACTTTAATGACCTCCTTGCAGACTTTATCTCCAAATTTCTTCACATTGTTTTGTAAGGTCTTCAAGATATGAATATTGGGAAGACACGGTTAAGTTCATAAAGGAAGAAAGTGTCATAGTAGTCTGCTTCATAGGCAGTCATCTCTGAGAGAGTTCTTGAAGGTTAGGGTTCCTCAAAGCATTCATTTTGATACTTTATCTAATGTATGTAATCACATGTACATGCCCACAAACAAATGTGTGTACACATGCAAAATCTAAAAAGAAAATGTCTGAGAGTAGTATAGAGGTAAAATCAATAATCAGTAAAATCAGTAATCCATAAAATAGAAATTAGGAAAAATTAAAATTATTAGAAACAAAAAATGATTAATAAATTTGAAATTGTATTGTGAAACAAAACCTGCAGTTACATAAAATTTTGTATGTTATCTGACATTTACGTTTTCTAAAAGATAAACAGTGAAGCATGAGAAATAAATAAAAACTCATTAAAAATCTTTCTCTGTATCTCTATCTATATGCCCTATTGGTTCTGTTTCTTTAGAGAACAGTGATTAATATAGAAGGCTATAGGATGAGTATGAAAAAAAGTAATGAGAATTTGAGCTAATGAAAGAACTGAAAATAACAAGAAAGACAGTTGTAAGAGTTATCATCAAAGAATAGCCTGTTGGTGCCTGTTGGATGTAATGAGTGAGAAAAAATCTAATATAGTTTCAAAGATTTGCATCTGAGCAACACTAGAACAGTGCAACTAATGCAATATGGAATTCAGAAGTGGACACTCAAAGGTGAGAGGAGATGACGGAAGATGAGAAGGGAATAGAAATCACAACAGGCTTCAATTTGATTTCCTGGGCTTGAGGCAATGATGGGATAGTCAGCTTCAGGAATTTCCATATTAGGAAGTTTAAGAACATTCTAAGGACACAGGCCTATTGCTAAACCAATAGCAGACTGAGTTCAGTCTGTCTTTAACGCCCGCAGTTACCTTTCTTGAGTTCATCTTCACCCTAGGTGTCCAGGAGTCTCACCTTACTCAGTTTCTTTCCCCATGCCAGGTGTCCCACCTTGGGGACTTAGTTAAGCACCCTCCCATGCTCTAGCTAGCTTTCTCCCTAAGAGACTGGCATGTGGTCACTAAATTCCAGGCTGTTAAAAAAGTGCCCAGTTATCCACAGATAGATCTCCCCAACAGCGTTTGCTGGCCTAGCCTGGAGTCCTCCGGCTCTGCCCCCCACAAGGAGATATGGACTTCAGCCATGTTACTACATCATAACCAAGAGTACCCAGGATAGTGCACTGGGCTCACCAGCCAAATTAGCCTCTCTGCTGAGCCAAATCTGCCTGCTCTGGCATGTCTCCCACTCTAGTTAGCAAATCAGGGGACCAACCTTGGCCCTTTCATGGCCTATGTAATCCTCTAGATTGACAACAGAGAACAAAAAACTGCTGAACACCAACTGTGTCCAAGTATGGGTACCAAATACATTCAAGCTAACAGAGGGACTGGGGAAATTAAAGTTCTTTAGGAAGGCCTTTGGATGTTGCCAGAGGCAGGGGCAGAGTCCCTGAAACTGCTACAATCCATCTTATTGAGAATAGCAATTCCTAAGAAAGTAGATCTTGGTGAGGTTTGTTTTAGTGATGGTGTGTGTGTGTGTGTGTGTGTGTGTGTGTGTGTGTGTGTGATCTCTAAAGGTGGATGCACTGAACTAGTAGGATCTACAGAGGATCACAGGCCAAAGTCAGATTATGAATCTGAAAGAATGTAAAATAATCAGGCAAATGTGGAAAAGCACAGAAAAGGTGGGATTCACAAGGAAACTGTAGCTACTAGGATTGCAAGCTCTCTGTGTCATACCTTGTGTATAAACTCTGGCCTCCTCAGTGAGCAGGCAGTGAGTGGCAATAGCAGATTGAGTGACCAGTGCCTGGAAACATCTAAATGCTTGTTTATGGTCAGTTAGTGACAATGATTGTTCAAAAGGCCTACCTTTTTATATCAGTATCAGGTCTACCCACCCTCCTTCAACCTCAATTTCGTTCTCCAAAAGTGTCTGCATTTCAGACCTAGGTTATTAGAAGAGGGCATTATTTAAATCAAGGAATAAAGTACATAGTGAAAATTGTTGAGCACTGGGAGAAAAAACCTTGGGGCATTAAATTCTACAGGTTCATACATGGAAGGGCAGGTTACATTCTGCTGTTTTGAAGAGGCTTTATTCCCCTGATATACCTTTTATATAGTGTCAGAGTTTCCAAAACACCCTTTATATGACTACTGGAGAATTGCATGTTCAGCATTACCTAATTTGCTCATAAATCTCTTGCCTTTTAATCAGCTAAGTGGCTATCTGCTGAATTTCCCTGATTTATTGATATCTTTTGAGGGCTGAGGATATGTCCAGATACTAAGTGATTCAATGAGGATGAAATGGCACATCACCATAATTATGATAGAAAAGAGAATCGTGACTAGGCATGCAAAACACCTTGTGGAGACAAAAGTAGACAGTTAAAGGGCAGGCTCCAGAGTTGCAGAGAAAACACTACCAAGCTAGTTTTTCCACAAAAATCTTCCCAACAGCTCTCAAAAGAGTAGCATTTGCATTCACCGACTCAGCAGTCCCACAGGAACCATGACCCCTGAGAATATACTGAGCAGGAACCAGATTCTGGCTAAACTAAAAAAATTTAAATCTGCATCCTCTTTCTACTTAGCCCCCCAAATCTGTGTGAGCTGTCAAAGGTGTTTCAACTCTTCTGAACCCCCAGTTCTTCAACTGTTAAGCAACAGCAATCTCTGCTGAGGAAATTCATTATAATAACCTTTTTTAAAAGAAAATAGACGTGGAAAAAAAAGATGCAGGAAAAAAAATGCACTTGGGGTCTGGGGTTGTAGCTCAGTGGTAGAGCACTTACCTAGCATATGTGAGGCACTGGTTCGATCCTTAGCACCACATAAAAATAAATAAATAAATAAAAAGGTATCATTTCCATCTACAAATTAAAAAAAAAAATCAAATACGCTAACAGGACAGCATGGTGGTGCTATAAAATGACACAGTTATTTATATCACAATTTCTGGATTGTTACAATTGTTAAAAGCGCCACCTGCTGGAAAGGCCACTGATACATATCAATTGGATGAGATGCTGCTATCATCAGGTTAGAATTGTTAACTGACTGTTACCAAAGAAAACCTAATTTCAAAATACAAATAGTGAACATGGCATAGGCAAAGTCCTCTCTTCTTAAGTGTTACCACAGTCCGGTTGCCCAATTTATCACATCTATACAACACTAGGGAACATTCTAGCAACTCTATCATTCATAGGGGTCTTTTTTTAATGCCATGAATATCTATTAAAATTATTGAAAAATCAATATTGTTCTAATAGGCAAAAAGAATTTAGAGAAGACTCTCAGCTTAAGAATGTGGTGTTTCAAAAGCCTGCATATGCTCTTGATTTTCAAAGGAATCACCACATATTTAAATATTTATTTATTTGTTTGTTTGTAATTTATAGTGCTGGTAATTGAACCACCCAGGCATGCTTTACCACTGAGCTATGTCCCCAGCTCTTTTTTAAATTTTTAAATTTTGAGACAAAGTCTAGCCAGGTTGCCAAGGCTATCCTCAAACCTGAGATATTCCTGGATCAGCCTCCTGAATAACTGAGATTACAGGCATGCACCACTATAACCTGCTCAATGAGTACTTTGTCATAAAAATCTAGCATGGTGGTGTGAACCTATAATTCCAGCTACTCAGGATACTAAGCCAAGAGGATCAAAAGTACAAGACCAGTCTGGGCAACTTAGCAAGAGCCTGTCTCAAAAAAAAAAAAAAAAATGTTTTAAAGGGGACAGGCAGGTCTGGGGATATAACTCAGTACAGAGCACTAGCATGGCATGCATGAAACCCTGGACTCAAACCCCTGTACAAAGAAAGAAAGGGGGAAGGGAGAGAGGGAAGAGTTTGGGAAGGCAGTTTTAATAGGTTTCAGAGAATGAAAGTATATTTATTCAAAAAAGTAAAAATCCCATTGTGGCCATTCAGATTCCTACAAATGACCTGTAAGCTCAGTATCAATTTCCCTCAATCCCACAGTAGCCCCCAAATAGGTATGTCTGCTTCACCTTCACAGGAGACATGATTCTAAAAACTTGGATATAAAAGATCTTGAATATATGAAGTCATTTACTGTCCACCAGGGGATTCAGTGAACCTAAGAAAACACACAATAACTATATTTTGTGAATTCAAAATCTTTATTTAGCCCCAATTGTTGTATTATACTTTTATAAAAAATTTTTTTTACAAACAAAGTTTTCTGAAAGTGTCATTTTGGTGGTTGATATTATACTGATGCTGCATGTTAACACTTTACATTGAAAAAGAATCATAAAAATCTCATGGCATTACAAACATTTTGGTAGGAAGTAGAGTAGAGCTCTCTATCAACTAATGAAGGCTTCCTAGGCTCTGGGGCATACTATTCTCTGAAAAATCATTCATTTTATGTTTTCATTTTGATGATAATCTATTTTCTTTACCAGTTATACAAATAAAGTTTTCTCCTTGCTGTGATAATTTGCTGTAAGACTTAGTTTTCTGAGCTGAAACAATAAAATGAGATCAATAGGGAATATTTCTGGGAGTCATGAGAATTTTTGTTAAAGGATGGTATCCACATATTTGCTCAGGTTTGAGAAATCTTGGCATATGGTGTGAAGCTGAAAATGTAGAAGGGATGTTCACCGACAGACTTTAAGATCACAGTCTGCTCTGGGACCTGGAATGAAGGAACAAATGTGACCAGTGAGGACCTGGGAATGATGGAGGAGAAATATTTAAAAAAGAGAGAGAGCCTACAATTGAGAGAGGGTTCTAGGCTACTACATTCCAGTTTCATGCTTCCATATTATTCATTCTTTTATCTCAGAACCTCTCAAATGCTGCCCCACCCATTTTCCCACCATATGCAGTCAGTGGCCAGGACTCATCTGTGCCCAAAGGCCACAAGGCCTGTGGATAACTGCCTCAGCAGGACAAAACCCCAAAGTTTCCAACAGAGGAAACCTGTTCCAGAACCGCCCTGGACCATCCCTACTCCTGAGCACTTGGCCCAGACTGGACAGCCTACTTTCAGACCCTGCCCAAGGCTGGTTCACTCCTGGGTATTCCCCCATTCTGCTCTCTCACATGTACCTCTGAGATACCCGCAGCAGGGCCCACACCTTGTCTCCCTCTCACCCAAAGGTTTTAGTCCTTAACACACAGAAGAAACAGGTCCTGGTCTTGGGTTCTGCTCTATTTTGGTATATCTATTTTTGATACATTGTTCAGTGTTCCTTTCTAAAATCTAACCACTGAGTGTAATCCAGTGCTATAGAGGGTTCATTCCAAGCCTTGTAATTTCCCCAAGTGTCTCTCAGCAGTCGGTGGGTTCTGCTTTCTCCTGGTGCTGCACAGGTGTGTGCCATCCTCTCCAGCTACAAGACCGCAGATTGGGTCTCTGGGAGACCACTCTCCTCAAGCTTCAGTCCAAGGTTGTCAATTCCAATGCTGGTGACTGGGGGCACATTGCTCTCCGCTGGCTCTGCTGTGCGCGTCGGGGTGGAGCAGTACAGGATAAACCCCAGCATGATGACAGTAAAGGACAGGATGTAGAGTCCTGAAAACTGGGAGAAGAAAAGAACAAACAATGCAAAGCGCTCCCGCATATACACACCTTTCGTCTATAGTCCTTTGAAGGTTACCTTCTCTTTACCTATTTCTGAAAGTTCTGTAAGAAGAAGCTAAATGCCCCAGACCCTCCCATGTATACTGGTGAATGCACAGGCTATCGAAACACCTGGCACATCAGCCAACTACAGCCTTGCATCTTTAGGGAAATGGAACCTTGCCTTGCTTTGTGATAATTTAGATGTACCTCACCCTGAAACCAATCCAACAAAGTGGAGGAAATAAAAGGCCATGATGAATACCATGAGAGAGCCCATTTCAGATCCTAGACACAGTTTACCATATTGTTATAAAACAGGACACAGAACCTAAGACAAAATATGGATGCACAGATGTCATATCTACTCAATAACTTCTCAATCTGTGTATCATAATTTGGATCTTTCGTGTCCTCCATAAAGCTCATGTGTTAGTCAATGTAGGAATGTTCAGAGGTGAAATGATTAGATTATCAGAGCTGTAACCTCACCAGTGGATTAATCCATTTGATGGAATAACAATTTGAATGGACTACTGGGTGGCAACTGTAGGCAGTGGGGCATGGCTAGAGGAAGTAGGCTACTGGGGGTGTGACTTTGGACTATATCTTGGGCTCTTTCTTGCTCATGTGTGCACATTTGTATTCTCTCCCTCCCTCTTTCCCCTCTCTCTCACTCCCCTCCCCCTTCCAGTCTGGAGCCAGCCAACCATGGACAGAATGTCTGAAACCATAATCCCAAAATAAATTTTTCTCCTATAAATTGTTCTTGTCAGGTATTTTGGTCACAAGGATAAAAAGCTGACTAACACATCTTGCTATTTCAATAAATTTCATTTTGTTATACTAGAATGAATTATCCTGTTTCTGTAGGAAATTATTACATAGTAAAATTTATGATGGACTGCACAGATTCAGATTTTTAGAGCTAGAAAATGATTAAGACACCATTTTTCAAAAGAGTCTGAAGCCCAAAGAGGAGAGTGGGGTGACGACAGCCACAAGAATGAACCTGCAGAGACACTGGCTACCCTCTCTGCTCCCAGAAGGACCAATAGAACAGGAGCCCATTCTGACAGACACACCATAAGAATGCAGAGCAGTTTTGGTGACTTCTTCAAATGATCCTTTTTAGGAATAAAAACATCTACCCAGGGCAAAATGCAATACAGACAGAAAGCTAATTCATTGGGTATATATTCCAAAAATGACATCTGACATACCTCCCAAAATTTAAACAAGTTATATTAGGTACCTTGTAAATGTTCTCTTATATGAATTGAAGATCCATACAAAAATTCAAGTATTAAATAAATTAATAAAATCAATATAAGTGGTTCCCTCTTATCCATGATTTTACCTTCCTTGGTGTCTATTACCCAAGGCAACAAGAATAAGAACAGTACAATAAGACACATTTACATAACTCTTATTACAGTTTATTATTATAATTGTTGTCAGTAGTCATCATTAGGGTTACTGTGCCTAATTTATAAACTTTATCTATAGATAAATAGATAGACAGATAGATAGATAGATAGATAGATAGATAGATAGATAGATAGATAGATA